GAAAATGGGCATGACAAAATACTACTTCCTTTTGTGATGAAAACTCACATTACACTAGGAATATGAGGGAATGTCCTTATTGTGATAACAAGAATCCACAATCAATTTTTTTGGCAGTGGGGTGAGTGGGGACAGAATCTGGCTCTGTTGCCCAAGCTGGAGAGCAGTGGTGGGATCACAGCTCACTGCAGCCTTAACCTCCTGAGCTCAAGCAATTCTCTTACCTCAGCCTCCGAAGTAGCTGGGACTACAGATGTGCACCACTATGCCTGGCTAATTCTGTTTTTGTTGTTGCTGCTCAGGCTCGTCTCGAACTCCTAGGCTCAAGCAATTCTCTTGCTTTGGCCTCTCAAAGTGCTAGGATGACAGGTGTGAGCCACCATGCCCAGCCTGCAAAGAAATTAAAGCTAACATAATATTAAATAGAGAAATACTTATCATTTCTATTCAACACTGTACTGGCCTGTACTATGTAGTGCTATAATGTAAGAAAAATAAAATGTATTATGATTGGAAAAGAGAAATAGAATGGAAATTATTTAGATGACTGTGTATGCAGAATATTCAAAAGAATCTACAAATGAGCTATTCGAAATAAGAGAATTCAGTTAGGTTGCTGGACACAAAGTCAACATACAAAAACCAACTGTACGAATATACCAGCAACAAACAGGAATGAAGTTTTAAAATACGATTTGCAAGAATACAGTGATGCCTGTATATCTGCAATAATACACATTACGCCACCTTGCCACCGCACAAGCTTTCCCCAATTCGGAATGCCTTTCCATCTACCTCCAAATGCCTGTTGAACTCTGACATTTATTTCCAGTCTCTTCAGATTTACCACTTTTTAAAAAACATTTTCTCTCCCTCCCTGAGTACTTTTCAAACTTTAATTCACCAGCAAATGTTTTCCTTATAATTACAAAAAATAGTAACTATCAAATATATAAAAGTGATAAACATGGAGTTTTCTTATTGAAACAAGGGTAGGAAATAAACTCAAGAGCCCTGACTTCCCAAAAAATCTCCAGGGAAAGATTTAAACTCATTAATTTGATTATTATTATTTTTGGAGAGGTAGTCTTGCTCTGTTGCCCAGGCTATAGTATAGTGGTGCGACCTCGGCTCACTGCAACCCCTGCCTCCCGGGTTCAAGCAATTCTCCTGTCTCAGCCTCCCTAGTAGCTGGGACTACTAGGTGTACACTGCCATGCCCAGCTAATTTTTTGTATTTCAGTAGAGAAGGGGTTTCATTGTGTTGCCCAGGCTAGTCTTGAACTCCTGAGCTCAGGCAATCTGCCTGCCTCGGCCTCCCCAAGTGCTAGGATTACAGGCATAAGCCACCACGTCCAGCCAGATTATTATTAAGCACCCAAATATCCAAATTGCTATTCTTAGCAACAACTTAAAAAATGAAGTCTTTCTCCTATCTTACAGAAAATGAGTCAGCAGGCAGAAATTCCTTCACCTCCAAATCAAACAAACATATCTGTATTCCCATCTTTAGGTGGGCTTTTCCCACACCTGAAGTTAGGTTAAGTCCTCCACCTGTGCTATGACTCGAATGTCTTTCAGAAAATGTGTTCCTCCCAGCGATGTCATCTTTAAAATCCACTCTCAACATGTGTATACATTAAATCATTAAAATAGAAATACTCCCCGTCATTCTTCCCTTCAATTACACTTGAAATACTGTAACAGCCTACTTGTGCACTCCACTGCAGTGAAATTTCTCTTGCCAAAGTCTCCAGTATCTCCTTATTTATCAATTTACTCTTATGACTTGATTTATAGCACCTGACACTACTGCCACCTGAGATTCATTTATCCCTTGGGCTCAGGGACATCACTCTTCTGCCTTTTCTCCTAAAGGGCCATTCCTTTTCATCTTTGCACAATTGCTTCATCAACTTCTTGTATACTGATGTTTTCCTGGGTTGTATCTATGATCCCTTTCTCATTCTAATCTATACATTCTCATGGCCAATTTGTATGTGCCATGTCTTTCACTACTAACTATATCTTAATTACTCCTGCGCTGTCCAGCTCACACTGTCCTTTTAGATTTGGATGACTGTTTGTTTGTTTTTTTTTTTTTTTGAGACAGAGTCTTGCTCTGTGACCCAGGCTGAAGTGGAGTGGCATGATCTCAGCTTACTGCAACCTCTGCCGCCCAGCTTCAAGCAATTCTTCTGTCTCAGCCTCCTGAGTAGTTGGGACTACATGCACCCACACCTGGCAAATTTTTGTATTTTTAATAAAGTCAGGGTTTCACCATATTGATGAGGCTGGTCTCAAACTCCTGACCTCAGGTGACCCACCTGCCTTTGCCTCCCAAAGTGCTGGGATTATAAGCATGAGCCACCGTGCCTGGCCTGGATGACTTAATTTGACATGTATAAAAATCAAACTGTTTACCCCTACATTGCCTACAAGGCATATCACACCACCATCCATCAAGGTAGCTAGGAAACCTAGCAGTTAATCTACCCTGTGTGTCAATCACCTTCCCCAATTATTTGACTGCCAAAACTAAGCCCTATGTATTCTTACTACATTAGTGTTTGCAACATATTCTTCACTGACTACCCTTACTTGAGCTTAGAGCCTCCTTCACCAGTCATTGGAGGTTGAATTCTAGTCTTCAGTCTGTTCAGCTGTCTTCAATCTCCTAACTGCATCCTCCATACATTGATGCAACAGTTTCCATTATTTAAAATCATTACTTGGTACCCTAAATTTCAGAATAAAAGTCAAATTCCTTAGTTTGGCAAGTAAGACCTTTGTTACCTATGCTGCTGCCTCCTCAGGCTTCAGTATCTTTTTTCATTACTTTCTGTAGATTCTCCACAAATGCTAACGTGCTGTCACCCACCCACCTACACCTTAGTCTACGTGGTTTCCTCTATTTAGAATCTCACTTTATGAAGAATACCTATTATTCTTCCAAAACTGGGCTCAGGCATTGTGGTCTCGGGGACACTATCGCTGGTGTCTCCTGGTTCGCTTGGTTAGTCTCCCTTCCTTATTTCTGCATCCCATGAACATCTCTCCATTTGTATTCTGCAACACGGTATCATAGCTTACCTATTTATCTGTGAAAACCCCTTTAACACATAATTTGTTTCCTCCCTTTAATCTCTTCACCCACACAGCTCATGACTTCTTGAAGACAAGTTCTGTTTCTTTCCTCTATGCAATTTCTAGAGCTCAGGATAGTATCTGGCCCAAACTCAGGCTTAAACAAACATTACTGAGTAAACCAGTTTTGAAATTTGTAATTTTTCTTTTTTAAATTTCCTTTGCAGTCTGAAACTTTTAAAAACTAGAAAACCGGCCGGGCGTGGTGGCTCACACCCATAATCCCAGCACTTTGGGAGGCCAAGGCGGGTGGATCACGAGGTCAACAGATCGAGACCATCCTGGTCAACGTGGTGAAACCCCGTCTCTACTAAAAATACAAAAAGTTAGCTGGGCATGGTGGCGCGTGCCTGTAGTCCCAGCTACTCAGGAGGCTGAGGCAGGAGAATTGCCTGAACCCAGGAGGCGGAGGCTGCAGTGAGCCGAGATCACCCCATTGCACTCCAGCCTGGGTAACGAGCGAAACTCCATCTCAAAAAAAAAAAACTAGAAAACCCCATGAGGAAAATAATCTTTTATTTCATAAACGGGTAACTTTTGAAGACTGTCACCAGTGATAGGCTCTTTAAACAGGTAGGATTTCATCTGCAGCCAACTAAAAAATATTAATAGCTTTAGCCTTGAAGTGATTGTCTAAACAAACAAAATGCTTCAACCTAAATTATCTAACATTATTGTTCAGAGCATAGCAAGTGTGGTTTCATAATAAATATGACCTCAAGACAATAAAGAAAAATTTCTGAAAACAAAGCCAGGAAATGTGTAAAAAATATGGGAGGCTATTTAGATGTTGTTTGGAAATAAACAGAACAAGAACAGATTTTTTTCTCTTTTTTAATAAAAGCCATGCACGAAGTTTGACACTAGGTCAGGAAAAGGTAAATTCCATACACTGAGAGGTAGTTCAGTTAGTTTTTATCTCTTATTTGGTCCTTTGCTCTAATATTGCATATATATATATGTACACACACACACGCACATATATGCAATATTCAGAAAATGTTTATGAATTATTGCAGTATTTGCAATAGTTGCACATGGTGGCTGAGAAATATTTTACAGCATTATTTTTCCCCAGGGGAAAGCATGAATGCAGTCCCCCACTATCACAGATGATGCCATTGAGTTTCCCACATTTGGGGAAATCACAGGAGTCAACACATCTGGAGTACAATGGGTAAGCCTTGCTCTGGAAAAACCACCTTTGTGATCACGGTATCTCCCCTGCCAGGTAAGCATATGTTGCATGCACATGTGTGTGTGCGTGTATGTGTGTGTGTGTGTGTGTGAGAGAGACAGTTTTGCAATGCTGCCCAAGCTGGAGTGCAGTGGCACAATCACAGCTCACTGAAACCTCTGCCTCCTGGGTTCAAGCGATTGTCTCAGCCCCCTGAGTAGTAGCTGAGATTACAGGCATGTGCCACCACACCCAGCTAATTTTTGTATTTTTAATGGAGATGGGGTTTTTAACCATGTTGGCCAGGCTGGTCTCGAACTCCTACCCTCAGGTGATCTGCCCACCTCAGCCTCCCAAAGTGATGGGATGACAGGCGTGAGCCACCATGCCTGGCCTATTGCATATATTTTTAAGAGCAATTATTTTGTTTGCTATTAAAATGTTTGCTGTAATAAATATGCTTATTTTTATACAATAGTAGCTTATACAGTTGTTTTTCTAATGGAAACTCCAGCACCTCAGCACCGAGTTTTCTCATTCTTGCATATCATAGATAGCATATAATGCTAATAAAGAGATTTTAAAAACATACCTTTTATCTTACAAATGGCCAACTTCAATGTCTGCAACAGTGAATTGTCTTGGGATATTTTTTAAAGTGGGTGACTAGTATGAAAGCTTTTCCTATATGCATTACGTAGCTAAAGTTTATTCTTAAAACTTGGTATCTGATGAGAACTAAAAGTTTTCTCTATTTCATTCTCAAGCATGTATTCTCTGATGAGTTTTGGTTTAAGGCTTTCACACATGCAAATCAGCTTTTAAGGAGTCCTCTTCAATGTGAATTTTATAATGATTAGTGAGGGATGACCTCTGGCTAAAGAGTTTTCCACATGCATTACATTCATAGGGTTTCTCTCCAGTGTGAATTCTTTGATGTGCAATAAGTGATGAGCTTTGTCTAAAAGTTTTTCCACATGTATTACATTTAAAGGGTTTTTCTCCTGTATGAATCCTCTGATGTTGTATAAGAGCTGCACTTTGGCCAAAAGACATCCCACATTCTAAACATCGATATGGTTTCTCTCCAGTATGAATTCTCTGGTGATTACTAAGGGATGAGTTACACCTGAATGTTTTGTCACATTCGTTACACTTATAGGGTCTTTCTCCAGTATGCATTCTCTGATGTTGAATGAGAGCTGAACTCTGTCTGAAGGCTTTTCCACATACTTTACATTTACATGGTTTCTCTCCAGTATGAATTCGCTCATGAATAATAAGTGTTGAGTGGGAACTTAAGGCTTTACCACATTCATTACAATTATACAGTTTCTCTCCAGTATGAATTATTCGGTGTCTATTAAGTCGTGAAATAGAAGTGAAGCCTTTCCCACATTCATTGCATCTATAGGGCTTTTCTCCAGTGTGAATTCTTTCATGTTGAATAAGAGATGCACTCTGACTGAAGGCTCTCCCACATTCACTACATTTAAAAGGTTTCTCTCCGGTGTGAATTCTCTGATGATAACGAAGGGATGAGCTAGACTTAAAGGTGTTGCCACATTCATTACACAAGTAGGACTTCTTTCTGAGATGAACTTTCTGACATCCAGAAAGGGATGTGCTATAACTGGATGGCTTCCTACCTGGATTATATCTATGGGGATTTTCTCGAGCGTGGATTTTTTGATGTATAAAAAGGCCAGACCTTCGACTGAAGGATTTACCACATTCTTTACATCTATAGCATTTCTCCACAGTATGGGTTCTTAGATGCTTGCAAAGGGATGCACTATGGCTGAAGGCTTTCCCACATTCTTTACATAAGTAGGGTTTCTCTCCTGTATGAGTTCTTTGATGCTGAATAAGAGCAGAACTTTGGCTGAAGGCTTTTAAACATTCTTTACATTTAAATAATTTTTCTCCAGTGTGGTTTTTCTGATGTTTACGAAGAGATGAATTGTGAATGAAGGCTTTTTCACATGTATTGCATTTATAGCGTTTCTCTGCTGTCTTGATTTTTGATTGGTTAAGTAAACTTGAATTCTGCTTGAAACTACTTCTTTGTATTTCACATTTTGACAGAGTTTTCTCTCTAGCAAATCTCTGTTGCTTGATGAACACTGATTCTACGTAGAAGTTTTGACCAAATTCAACATTTTTATGGCTTCTGTCTACAGTGAGAATTTTTGTATGGGTAATTGAAATTATTTGTAAATTTTCATTTTTGTCTTGCTGTTTCTTTAATTTCTCTTCATATATGCAGGGTCTCTCCGATATGAAGTTCCAGGGTTCATCCCTTTTCAGTCTTTTCCTCATCAGCTCCTGAAATGAATCCTGAGTTTGAGTTGTCTTTGTCATTTTAGGATTGCTCTTACATCCTGAAAAACAAAAAAAGAAAGTAACTGCCAATGATTCATGTGACTGGCTGAGACTAAATGTGTAAAAGGAAGATTATATCATTAATCTCAAGAAGGGTTTGCTTTATGACTAAAAGACAGTAAGAAGACAAAATTTTTAAAAACACTACATAAAATAATGGATGACAGCTGAACTGGCAAGTGAACAAAAAAATAAAGCAGACTCATTTTAGGAGGGTGAGTGTGTAAGAGTGACCAAGAGAATGGAGTGAAGGGATTAGAGAAGGAGGCGGCATATGAATTTAGGAAGTATAGTCTGGTACCCAAAGCCTATGGATGGGCTCATAAATTACCCCATTCCTATGATTATGTATACTCCTGAATGTCTTCCCTCCTTCTACTACATTCCAAACTCCTTTGTATCCTTCAGATTCAGTTCAAATGTTAACTCCTCTGTGTACCTTTTCCTAACAACTCACTCCCCTTATTATAGCACTTATTATAGTACATTAAATGGATGTAAGTAAGAAATAATATACAACTACAGATGCTGAGAAAATCTTCAACAAAATTCAGCACCATTGACAATAAAAACACTCAAGCAAAAATGAACTGAGGGATACTTCCTCAACATGATAAAATACATAAGACCTTTTTCCTAAAGCTACTATCTTATTAAATATACTAGAGGTATTTCCACTATGCTCAAGAACAAGACAAAGACATTCATTACTTTCCCTACAATTTAACACTGTATTAGACATATTAACCAATGCAATCAGATAACATAAATCAATTAGAGATGAGTTAAGAGAAAGTAAAACTACCTCTATTTGCTGACAATATATTAAAAAGTGCAGAGAATGAATGATAAAAATCTTTCAGTGAAGTAATTGGATATAAAATCGACACATTAAAAGCAATAGCCTTCGTTTACACAAAGGATCAGAATAGTAAGTATACAAGTCGTATGAAAAGCTATATGAGGGAAATTTTATACCAGTCTTGGATGACATTAAAGTATATCTGAAGAAATAATCACCTCTCCTATTCCTGTAACAACTTAATATTATAAAAATGTTACTGCATTAAGACAGGATGTAGATAGGATTTCTCAACCTCAGATTACATTTTGGGCTAGATAATTTAGTTGTGTGGATAGTGTGGGCTGCCCTGTGTATTGTGGAATGTTTAGCAGCATACTTGATATCTCTACCCAACAGATATCAGTAGCACTTCCCCTCACAACTCCTCCCTCCAGAACACGACAAGCAAAAATGTTTCAAGACACTGACAAATGACAGAATCACTCCTGGTAGATAATCATTGGAATAGATGAATGCAAAAATGATCATGAATTGATAGCTGCTGAAACTGGATGATGGGCTGGGTAATCCCAGCAATTTGGGAGGCCAAGACAACAGGATCCCTTGAACCCAGGAGTTTGAGATCAGCCTGGGCAATATAGTGAGATCCTGTCTCTAAAACTAACTAACCTTGCTGGGCATGGTGGCACTCCTCTGAGGTCCTAGCTACAAGAAAGGCTGAGGCAGGAGGATCACTTGAGCCAAGGAGGCTACAATGAGCCATGATTATGTAAGTGCAATCCAGCCTGGGTGACAGTGAGAGATCCTGTCAAGACAGAAAAAAAGAAAGACAGAAAGAAGGACAGAAGGACGGAAGGAAGGAGAGGGAGAGAGGGAGGGAGAGAGGAAGGGAGGGAGGGAAAAGAAGGAAGGATAAAGAGAGAAAGAGAGAGAGAGAAAGAGAAAGCGAGAGAAAGGAAGGGAGGAAGGGAGGGGAGAGGAGGGAAGGGGAGGGACGAGATAAGACAACACAGAAAAGCAACCGCACGACAAATGGGAAATCATTATATTATTCTATTTTTATATATGCTCAAACTTTTCCACAACAAAACTAAAAATGAAGGTTTCTTCTACCTTCTGTCTTTTCTTGTAACAGGAGTGAATGGGTTAACCTTTTTCCTCTTATAGACCATACCTACTAAGAGAGTTGCGATTTAAAAACTGGTTTCTGCAAAGAAATCAGCACACAGGCTGGGCGCAGTGGCTCCTGCCTGTAATCCTAGCACTTTGGGAAGCCATGGCAGGCCGATCACCTGAGGTCAGGAGTTTGAGACTAGCCTGGTCAACATGGTGAAACCCCATCTCTACTAAAAACAAAAATTAGCCGGGAGTGGTGGTGCATGCCTGTAAACCCAGCTACTCAGGAGGCTGAAACAGAAGAATAGTTTGAACCTGGGAGATGGAGGCTGAAGTGAGCCGAGATGGCGCCACTGCACTGCACTCCAGCCTAGGCAACAGAGCGAGACTCCATCAAAAAAAAAAAAAAAAAAAAATAGAAGTCAGCACACAGAGGACAAGGTCCTAAAAATATATTTCCTTTAAAAACAAACTTTCGACCAGAGTGGTGGTTCACACCAGCACTTTGGGAGGCTGAGGCAGGTGATCACTTGAGGTCAGCAGTTAGAGACCAGTCTGACCAACATGGTGAAACCCTATTTCTACTAAAAATACAAAATTAGCAAGTGTGGTGGTGCATGCCTGTAATCCCACCAGCTACTTGGGAGGCTGAGGAAGGAGAATCACTTGAACCTGGGAGACAAAGAGGTTGCAGTGATCCAAGATCACATTATTGCATTCCAGCCTGGGTAACAAGAACAAAACTCTGTCTCAAAAAAAAAAAAAAAACTTCTAAGTGGAAAATTTAAATATTTATCAAATGACAAAATATATGTTTATTTATTTATTTTCAGAGTACTTCATAACTGTGACTTTTATGCAAGACCTCACCTTCAGCATACCTCAACCAACAGACATCAGTAGCACCTCCCCCTTAAAACTCCAGATGGTGGCATACTACATACTACCTACATACTTGAAGACAGAGAATGCCGAAAGTGTGAAATAAATGTGAGGTACAAGAAAAAGTAGATGTCAGGGAAGATGGTACAGTAGGAAGCAGCAAGGTTCCATCTATCCACCTAGACAAGTGAGCTGTCAGAATCTGTCTGATGCAACTATTTTGAAACTCTGGAAACTATTTGAAGGCTTGCAGCTTCTAGGGGAAGGCCTGGCCAGTAAAGTGAAACTAATTTCAGTTGGCAGCAGCTACCCATGTCTAATCCCTTAAACTCAGGGCTTGCAGCCGTACTAGCCTCCCTAGAGTGGCCTTTGGTGGCCAAAGTGGCAATAAAGACCTTGCTCTCCAAATAATGGGGATCGTGGGTTTGGACTGCAAATTATTGCTGTGAATCACAGAGGTGCAGACACAAATGCAGGCTGGCATTTTTGCAATCCCCACTGACGTGATGTGCTTCCAGAGGATTTAAGGAACAGTGCCTACTATTTTCCCCTTCTGTTTCTTCCTTTTCCTGCTTTGGGGAATCACACATTTAAGGATAAGGATATTGGGCTCAGTGGTTCACGCCTGTAATCTCAGCACTTTAGGGCGCTGAGGTAGGCAGATCACTTGAGGTCAGCAGTTCAAGACCAAGCCTGGCCAACATGGGGAAACCCCAACTCTATTAAAAATACAAAAATTAGCCAGGTGTGGTGGCAGGCACCTGTAATCCCAGCTACTTGGGAGGCTGAGACAGAAGAATCACTTGAACCTGGGAGGCAGAGGTTGCAGTGCGTCAAGAAGATGCCACTGCACTCCCGCCTGGGTAACAGAGTGAGACTCCATCTCAAAAACCAAACAAAATAAAAGTAAAGCAAATGCACACATGGGGAATTTAAAAAGTCACTGCACAAGGCCAGGGAAGACGTGGGCTCAGAAAAAAATATGAGAAGATCTTCAGTTTATATATACCTTAGGCTAATTCCTGGACTAGTGACACCCTACAACAGTAAGAAAACAAAACCAAAACAACAACCAGCAAATCTTACAGAAGTGAGAGAATCTGATCCCCAGAGTTATAACACTGTAAGACAATAGTAATAATAATAATAACAACAACAACAACAAGAAGGAATAAAAAAATTAAAAAGTAGGCGAGGTATGGTGGCTCACACCTGTAATCCCAGCACTTGGGGAGACCAAGGCAGGTGGATCATGAGGTCAGGAGTTCGAGACCAGCCTGGCCAATATGGTGAAACCCTGTCTCTAAAATTAGCTGGGCATGGTGGCACACACCTGTAGTCCCAGCTACCCGGGAGGCTGAGACAGAAGAATCACTCGAACCCAGGAGGCAGAGGTTGCAGTGAGCCAAGATCATGCCACTGCACTCCAGCCTGGGTGGCAGTGTGAGACTCTGTCTCCAAAAAAAAAAAAAAAAGGAAAGTATGGTTTAGTCAGTGGAACAAAATAAATAGAAAACATCTCTGACTAAGACCAGATGGTGGCATACTATACAAAGACAACTACCATAAAGATGCACAGGGAGCTAAAGGAAAATGTGAATGAGTCATGAAAATGACAAACAAATGGATGTATCAATAAAAAGGAAACAAAACGAAACCAAGAAGAAATTCTAGGATTTGAAAGTATAATAACTGAAATGAACATTTCACCAGAGAAATTCAAAAGGTTTAAGCAGGCCATACAAAAAACAGCAAACTTTTTTAAGATAAGACAATTAAAATTACTCGAGTCTAAGAAAAAAAGAAGAAAATATTTAAAAAGTGAACAGAACTTCAGGGACATGCAAGATGCCAAAACACGCCTCGTCCTGGGCCCTGGCATGGCCACGCCGGCCCTGCCGAGGCTCTCAGGCCAGCACAGCTCCGTACTTCCCTAGGACAGGACTCCCAAAGGGAGAGGCAAGCTGTCGCTTTTGCTGTGCCACAGCCCTCACTGCTGTTGCCCTCAGGCTCCGGAGGGTGCACAGTGATTAGCGACTGGAGCAGAACCCAGCAGCACACAGCCGCCCCGCAAACAGCGGCCAGACTGTTTCCCACAAGGGTCCCCATTTCCACTTCTCCTCACTGGCCACAGCCTCCCGACCTAGGACTCCGGCACAACCATCAAGCCTAACTAAACACTTCAGATGAAGACGG